GGCCCCCACCACCCAGTACCCGCCCCGCCCCAGGCCTTCACCTCGCTATTGTCTGGCCTTGGGCTTTGCACAGATGCATTAAGTTCTTCGGTTTATCTCCCGCCTCTGCCTTTCCTCTGAGATCCCTCAGTCTGTCCCATGCTTGTCTTTCTGTGCCTGGCGCATTTCACTCAGCGTAATGCTCTCCAGGTCCCTCCATGTGTCCCAAATAATAGCTTCTAACTGGAATCAGAATCGGTGACCTGATATTTATACACAGGCCTGAGCAGTGACCTCATTCGGTGTTTCCACTGTGGAAAGATTGTCAGCAAAACTTGGCAGGAGGTTCCACGTGCCGGAAATTTAAGCTACTCTGACGTTCCAGCTGCCAGACACCCTCACGTCTCCCCACACTTTTAACATTTTACCAAATAGCAGGGAGACCGGAGAGAATCGGTTTTCCGGGGAGTTTGGGAGAGAAGGTCATAATGATGATAAAGCAGAATTAATTTCTCGGTCGGCTCTTCCTCTCTGCCCAAGGTGCACCGTCCAGACACTTTGCACACGTTAAGGCCGAAGGCAAGCCTTTTATTTTTCTGAGCAGATAACATTGCCTAAAGCAAACATTGTTTTTATGAGATTTTCATAGGTTTCTGGCTTCAGCTCAGGAGCCGAGTTCATTTTCAGCACTTTCTTAAAAAAATGTGGAGTGATCCTAATTTCCTACCTGGCCATAAAATGTCAGGATTCAAAGCAATTTTGCAAATAGCCTCCCTATTACTTTGGATGAAATTCACATTTGTGTGAGCCTTGGGAATGTTTGCATGAGGCGAAGGTATCCGTCAACAGACAGTCGGGGGCTGGGGACTTTACAGCGGCCTCTCCGCGTCGGTTCCTAACCTGCCCGCTGTCCCTTCAGTGATGTCCGTGCAACGCCTTTCCTCTTATTTCTTTCCTGTAGCCAGAGCTACCTGCAAGCGGCCAGCGACGGGCCTGCAGGTCACGGCCTGGACCCCTCTGCCAACTACAACTCCCCCAAGTTTCGCTCCCGGAACCAGAGCTACATGAGAGCTCTCAGCATGCTGAGCCAGGCCAGCTGCGTGAGCCAGGTGGGACCCACTGTCCGCCCCTCCGTCCCTGGGGCCAGTCTCTAAAGCCAGGTCGGGTGGGGCCTGGCCAGAGACCCTGGTGGGTCTCGCCACCGACCGCGCTCTTGCCTGTTCCAGATGAGCGAGGCCGAGGTCAATGGGCAGTTCGAGTCCGTGTGTGAGTCCGTCTTCAGCGAGGTGGAGTCTCAGGCCATGGATGCCCTGGACCTCCCCGGGTGCTTCCGGACGCGGAGTCACAGCTACCTTCGCGCCATTCAAGCTGGTTACTCCCAAGATGATGAATGTATTCCCGCACTGACACCCTCCAACGTCACCTCCACTGTCAGGTCCACAGCAGGTAAGGACGCCCTTTCTGACCGTCCTGGTGGAAAACACACAGGTGTGCGAAGGTCCTTCGCCCCGGAAGGAGCAGGGCACACCCTGAGCGCAGGTGTGATTTAGTCTCCAGTGTTTGGTAACTATTCCAAATTACATTTGTAACATTGTCACATTTGCGGTGGTGTTTTGAAACATTTCTTTCACAGGTAACCTTTCTTTTTTTAATTTTTTAATTTTTTTAAATATTTCTCTACTGATTTCGAAGAGAGGAAGGGGGAGAGAGAGAGAGAGAGAGAAACATCAGTGATGAGAGTCATTGATCGGCTGCCTCCTGCATGCCCCCAGCTGGGGATCGAGCCCACAACCCGGGCATGTGTCCGGAGCGGGAATCGAACCACAATCTCTTGGGTCCTAGGTCGATGCCCAACCGCTGAGCTATGCTGGCCGGCCAACCTTTGTTTTTTTAGAATGAAATCCATAATTATCAAAGTTTTTAAAAGTAAGTAAGTATTCCTGGCTGGTGTGGCTCAGCTGGCTGGGCACCGTCTCGTGTACCCGGAGGTCACAGTTTGATTCCCAGTCAGGGCACGCGCCCTGGTTGTGGGCTCGATCCCCAGGAGGCAGCTGATTGATGTTGATGTTTCTCTCTCTCTCCCTCTCCCTTCCTCTCTCTAAAATCAATAAAAACATTTTAAAAAGATAATAAAATATAAAAGTTTTGTATGGGGAAAAAATGTGAGCCCTGATATTTAGCAGGTGATTGCTTTTTAAATGTCGGAGCTGAATGGATTGAGCGAAGCCCTTGGATGCACAGCGACGCCTGGGCTTCTCCGTGGCCACGTCCAGCCCAAATCTTGGTCTCTGGGTAAGCGAATCCATAACTGTGATTCACGGCTGCCAGCGAACCGATCGTTAATGCAAATTCTCTGTCGTCTTTGGGCTCTGCTGGTTCAATGTCACCGCTTCCTTCCGTCCTTACGGCAGCCACATCCACCCCTGAAAATTTACCACCCGAGCTAAACAGCACGGCCTAATATTTCTCCGCACTGTCGTATTTCTCTGACGCGATGAATATCCATGGTCTGGAGGAGCCATAAAGCAGAGCCGGCCATAAAATTCCCCCAGCTGCACGTGACAGCCAAGCTGGCCGCTCAGCAGCCAGCCGAGCGCAGGAGCGAGGTGACCCGGGTGCCGTGGGACCTGGGTCCCGCGACCTATCAGAGGAGCTAAGGGCAGCTCTGGGAGGAACTGGGGCGAATGTGGGTTTGATTTCTAGCACCAGGAACCGGAGTGGGGGAAGGGACAGGCAGGGTCCGGGAAGGGGGTGTCCTGTACCAGAAATGGAGCTTTTTTAAAAAAATGTTTTTATTGATTTTTTAGAGAGAGGGGAAGGGGGAGGGAGAGAGAAACATCAATGACGAGAGAGTCATTGATCGGCTGCCTCCTGCACGGCCCCTGCTGGGGATCGAGCCCACAACCCGGGCATCTGCCCTCACTGGGAATCGAACCCTGACCTCCTGGTTCCTAGGTTGATGCTCAACCACTGAGCCACACTGGCCGGGCCAGAAACAGAGCTTTCTCCTTGCATGCTAACGGCTTTCAGGAGACCTGGGGGAGGTTACGTGGAATTACAAATTGCAGACTGCATGCCGCTGATAAACCAGCACTGACCAGCCTCTTAGAGGAAGCACCCTGACCGATGTGCAGTCCAGAGACAGCCGAAGGAGTAGCCAGGACCCAGACCCTGTCCAGCATGTTGTCCCTCCAAGGTCTTAGCAGGTTGGCTTTTCTGGGGTATCCAAGGGAATGAGGAGCTGTGGCCGATTCATCCAGTAGCCTAACCTCTGGTTTTCAAAGAAGCCATGGGTCCTCGGTGATCTTTTTTTCTTTAATTTATCTTTATTGTTGAAAGTATTGCAGGTGTCCCTTTTCCCCGCTTTGTCCCCCCCACTCTTGCCCCTCCCCCAGGCCTTCCCTGAACTATCGGCTGTGCCCATGGCCTGTGCATGGATGCATGTAAGTCCTCCGCTTAATCTCTTCCCCTCTTCCCCCGACCCCCGCCTTCCCCCGAGATCCCTCCCTCTGGGCCAAGCGTCTGTGTCTCTCGATCTGGTTTCTTCATCAGTTTATTTTGTTCATTGGATTCCACATGTGAGTGGGACCGTGGGGTCCTTGCCTTCCTCTCACTGGCTTATTTCACTTACCAGGTCCCTCCGTGCTGACTCACAGTGAGAGATTGTCTTCCTTTTTCCAGCCGCGTCGTTTTCCATGGCATGAATGTCCCACCGTGTTTTATCCCCTTGTCTACTGCTGGGCACTGGGGCTGTTCCCAGGTTTTTGGTGGTTGTTGTTAATCCTCTGAGGATATTTTTTCCATTGATTTTGAGGGAGAGAGAAGAGAAACATCGATGTGGGAGAGACACATCGATCGGTTCCCTCTGCACAGACCCTGACCGGGGCTGGGGATCGAGCCTGCAGCCCAGGCACGTGTCTTTGCCAGGGAATCGAACCCAAGACCCTTTGATGCACAGGCCGGCGCTCTAACCACGGAGCCACACCGACCAGGGCTGTTTCCAGGCCTTAGCTGTTGTAAATAGCGCTGCTGTGAACACAGGGGCGCATAAATGCTTTCCGGTTGGTGTTTTGGGCGTCTTAGGATGTGTTCCCAGAGGTGGTGTTTTTGTGCACTTCTTGGCCCCTGACGGGAGGCTCTGTGATGCTGACGGCCGAGCCTTGCAGCCTCGACCGCGGGTGCTCCGCTCTGAAGCCCGGCTCCGTGGGGGCGGGGAGGGCAGTGCCAGGACCTGTCCCGAGAGGTCTGCAGGGCTGTGGATATTATCACAGCGTGATCAGGGGGTCGTGGGTGACAGGGCTGGGCCTTCGTGTCCTCTGGGCTGTCCTGTTCCTTTTGTTTTTTCCCCTCGGGGAAGGCATGGACCACCCCTGCCCTTCCAGGAAAAGAAATGTGAAAAAAGAGCCCTGGCTGGTGTGCTCAGTGGATAGAGCATCGGCCTGCACACCCAAGGGTCTCGGGTTCAATTCCCGTCCAAGGGCACCCGCCTGGGTTGCAGGTTCAGCCCCCTGCCCAGGCTGGAGCATGTGCAAGAGGCAACCAACCGATGTTTCTCTCACTTGCTCTCCCCCCTCCCTCCCACTCTCTCTAAAAATCAGTGGAAAAAATATCCTCAGGTGAAGATTAACAAAAAAATTAAAAGAATAAAAAGAGATGTGAAAAGTGCAGATTAGAAACTGGGGGAAGTGATGAGCTTCACCGTCATTGGATTGAAAAGCACTTTAAGGTCGTCACTGGTACTTTTACCAGCATCTGTGGCGTGTATCTTATGGGTGAGGGACAGTCAAACCATCTCACGTCTTCAGAAATGCTCTGAGGGTGACCGCCCCGTGGAACACGATCGATCACCTTCAAGCTGTCATTATGGGCAGAATAAAAATAAACATACAGGTGACACAAGAACCAGGGGGGCCCGGCCGGTGTGGCTCAGCGGTTAAGCATCGACCTAGGATTCAGGAGGTCAGGGTTCGATTCCCGGTCAGGGCACACGCCCGGGTTGCCGGCTCGATCCCCAGTTGAGGGCCTGCAGGAGGCAGCTGATCAGTGACTCTCGTCATTGAAGTTTCTCTCTCCCTCTCCCTTCCTCTCTCTGAAATCAATAAAGATATATTTAAAAAAAAAAAAAGACAGTGGGGAGCTGAGACTAAAGCTCTAATTTATGTGCACATGATTTACCAAGTGCACTTTTATATCCCCAAAGTGTACGTACCAAATAAATCACACAAGATGCTTCTCTTCAAAGTTTCTATTGGACCCTGGGTTAGTTATCGAGTCGAGGGGGCCACCGGAGGTGAGGACGGTCCGGGAGTCAAATGAGAGAGGTGGAAACTCTAGGGGCGTCGGCTGTGGTGGGACACGTGCCACCGGGAGGACACGTCCAAGCAGGTGGGTCATGAACCTTCCCTGTCCTTGTTTTACTCTGAGCGCCATCTGTTAGGTATTTACAATACTTCCTTCCTAAATAGAACTGAGAAGGCATGTGGCCATAGTCTATTTAATAAGAGTGTGGCAAATACCAAAGAAATGACAAGTTGCTGTCTGAAAAAGCAGAAAGACACACGTATGGAGAGACCGTCGAACCCCCAGGACGCAGACGCCCGCTGGTGAGCACGGCTGAGCGTCCGACCTGATTCGGGGCTTCCTGCCGCGGAGGCAGACGGGACGTCAGTAATTTTGTGTGGAGAGAGAAAGATTATTCTGACAAACTGATTTTCTTTTTGTTTCTAAAGCTCTCTCTTGAAAATAATTCCAAAAAGTTGTTTTTGAAAACATTCACAGTGATTATCTTGAAAAATAGGATTTATTTAAATGCTCCTTTTTGTATGCCTGAAAAACAAGTTAATGTTACTAGGTCACCTCCCCTTGTATAAAATGCAAATATATAATCTTAATATTCATCTAGCAATAGTTAAATATTAAAATATGTGCGTGGGAGGTCTGTGAAGAATTCAGGAATATGTGTTGAGCAGCTATAGGGTGTCCCAAGAAAGTGCCTAAACACACTTTGAATAATCATAAAGACAGTGTTGATTAAAATGCATTTCCGTTTCAAAATTGACCTGCCAGCTGTCACAGTGTGTGTATATTTTGGGGGACACCCTGTATTTCAAACCCCCGCGGGCGGCTGCTGCTGGTGGATTTGCTTGCCTGGGGTCTCGAGCTCCCTGCCCTTGGCCACGCAGTCCCTGGAGCCCGAGGTGACTCAGCGGAAACCGTGTCCCTTAATCTCATCTGCAGGCGTCCACTGCTCAGCGATG